ACAGAATGAGTTTCCTCAAAAAAGTAAATATGGAACTGCCATTTGACCCAGATCCCACTTCTAGGAATATATCCTAAGAAATCCGAAGCACCCAATCAGAAAGAATGTATGTACCCCTATGTTCATAGCAGCACAATTTACAATAGCTAATATGTGGAAACAGCCCAAATGCCCATCAGTAGATGAGTGGATAAAAAAACTGTGGTACATTTATACCATGGGATACTATGCACCAGTGAAAAGGAAGAATCTCTTACCCTTTGAGACAGCATGGAGGGACCTGGAGAGTATCATGTAAGTGAAATAAGTCAGTCAGAGAAAGACCAGTATCACATGATCGCACTTATATGTGGAATCTAAGTAACAAAAGAAACTGATGAATGGAGTGGATCCAGAGACATGGAAGCATGGAGCAGAATGCAGAATCTCAGAGGGAAGGCAGGGGAGGGTGGGTGGATGGGAAGTAATAACCAAAGCCTTGTATGCATATATGCGTAACCCATGGACATAGACAATAGAGTGCTGATAGCCTGGGGTGAGGGAGGGGGGAGGGCCTGGGGGGACTGAAGGGGTCAATGAAGGAAAAAGGGGACATATGTAATACTTTCAACAACAATAAAGGATTATTTAAAATAAAGAATTTCAACCTTGGCCAGGTAGCTCAGTTAGTTAGAGCATTGTTCGGATATGTCAGGGTTATGGGTTCAATCCCCGATCAGGGCACATGCAAAAGTAATCAATGAATGCATGAACAAAGTGGAGCAACAAATTAATCTCTCTTTCTCTCTCTCTCTCTCTAAAAAAAAAAAGAAGAATATCAATTAAAATAATTTCTATTCAACACATTCCTACCCATGAACAAGTTATTTATGCTGAGTCTATTTAACTTTGCTCTGTTACAACAATTTTAGGACAGGTGAGTATAATACAGTTCTTTTGTTTCATTGAAGAATAAAGATTCCTTTTTTTTTCTTAAAAGTCTTCATATATGTCAATCCATTTGTATATACTTGTTGCTATTTTTATATCCTAATGAACTCACAGAAACAATTATCAGAATTTAAAATCAGGTTTTTCTGCTCTAAGGAACACATAAACATGGATATGTGTATACATATTTGGCAGGCATATAGAGTCCAATTCATAAACGATCAATCAAGTCACATATTTTTGATGATTATTTTTCTTTTAAAAGAATCAATATAAATTTAGAGAATATAAGATGACCTGCCCAATATGTATTTTATATTCATACTGATATCATTTTAAATAATAAAGATACTTTCATTGTTTCTAGATGGGATGATAGGAAAAAAACACTTATTGTTATTCTCCCTATACTAAGTTTCAGGGGAAATAAGTGGTAGCATTTTATTGACTGACATCCCCCACCCCCACTTTTGTTTTTAAATGAGGCTGACATGGCACAGAGCCAGGCTGAGGGATTTTGTTTTGAAAGGCAGTAAGCACCCAAAGGGAAATTATTGATCAGAACGTGGAGACAGAGTAGCAAAGAAGCTTTGTGTTATCCTTTTTAAAGGCCATTGGATATTAATCTACATCAGTCTGCCTCTAGACGTGGAAGGCAGGACAAATTAAATCAGAATTTTAAGCTCCAATTTGATCTGTTTGTAGAGATAAAACCTCAAAGGTTGATCATGCCTAATATACCACCTTAAGCAATTTGTTTCCTTATCATCTTTCCTTTGACATTTTATTACGGGACAGACCAAGAAACAACAAAGGTTTCCCTTGGAGAGTTTAATCCACATGGGGTATCTTTTAGAAAGCGTTCCTGATAGGAATAGCAATCACAATATGAAATCATTCACTTTTAATAACATCTTCAAATATCACATGATTTACTTGCACACAAATTAAAGTTGTGGAAGGAATATGTCAAAGTGGCTTCAGTATTGACATAGCGGAATTCCTGCCCAAGGCCTGGAGAGCAGTCTAGTGACCTGAGACTTGCTCTCAGCTTTGTTTTCAGCACATGGACCGGCATCTGCATGCCCCTGGGAAACTGTACCAAGTACAGTAGTTTATGTGCACTTTCCCACAAGGGACTAATTAAGTAACAGGAACTAACTGAAGGAAATTCCCCTGGGAGAGTTTAGGAAGATTAAACACAGTGAGGCACAACTACCTTACTGCCCATTTCTTCTATTAAATAGCTTCATGACAGCAGAAAATGCAATCCTTTTATTTCATTATGCGGTTACGGCAAATGTTTCAAATGTTTTCTATTACCAGCCAACGTTCTCTGCATTTCAAACACATTTTTAACTAAAAATGTGAATTTTTTATTCACTTCCATTTCATATCACAGATTCCTCTATCCTTTATCTCATCCTGCGCCGACATTTTACAAAATTCAACATGTTTAATTGTAGAAATGCTTTAAAAATTAGGGATAAGAGAAACATACCTCAACATAATAAAGGCCATATATGACCAGCCCACAGCTAACTTTGTACTCAGCTATGAATGGTTAAAAGTTTTTTCTTTAAGATCAGGGAAAGATAAAGGTGCTCATTTCACTATTCCTATTCAACATAGGAATGGAATTTCTAACCAGATTAATCAGGCAGGAAAAATAAATGAAAAGCATTCAAATTGGAAAGAAGGAAATAAAATTATCTTTGTTTGCAGAATCCCAAAGATTGCACCAAAAGCAGTTAGAACCAATAAAAAAAATTCAGTAAACTTGCAAGATATACTATCAATATACAGAAATCAGTTGTGTTCCTATACACTAACAACAAAAATCTAAAAAAATAGAGAAATATTTCTATTTTTATAACATCCTAAATAATAAAATAATTAAGACTAAATTAAACCAAAGAGATGAAAGTTCTGTACAATGAAAACTAAAATAATTTGATTAAAGAAATTAAGGACACACAAACGTAAAGATACCCTGTGTTCATAAATTGGAAATATTACTGTTATTTAAACTAACTGTACTACTCAAAGCCATCTATAGAGTTAATGTATTTCCTATCAGAACTCCAATGGTATGTTTCACTGATAGAAAAACAATCCTAAAATTTGTATGGAACCTTAAAAGACCCTGATTATCTAAATTACATCTTAAAAAAAAAAAAGAACCACCTTAGAAGCATCACACTCACTGATTGCAAAAAATTTACAAAGCTATAGTAATCAAAACAGTATGTAACTGGGGAAAAATAGACACATAGACCAATTCTGGACCAGAATTGAGAGCCCAGAAATAAACCTTAGCATATAAAATAAACTAATTTTGACAAGAGAGACAAGAATATTCAATAGGAAGAGCACAGTCTCATCAATAAATGTTTTTTAGAAAGCTGGATAATAAGCAAAAGAATGAAGCCAAATTTCTTACACCACTCCTCACAAAAATGAACTTATAATAAAGCCACAAATATAAAATTTGAAACTGTAATATTCTTAGAATTTTACCAAAGACTGGCAGGGTAAAGGAAGCAGGGAGATATTGGTGAAAGGGTACAAACCTCCAATTACAAGATAAATAAATTATGGGTATCCAATAAACAACATAGCTATTATATGGAGTGGGCAAAAATAGGTTTACAGCTGTTCACATGGAAAAAGACATGCAGGTTATGATTAACTCTGTGTTTCATATACTCATGACTATAAACCTACTTTGCCCACCCCTTTATATGAAAAGCTCATAACCAAAATACTCAAAGAGCAAAACTGAAAACTTTTCCTCAAAATCGTGAACAGAGCATGGGTGCCTACTCTTCTTGTTTCTATTCAACATGATAATGGAAGTCCCAGCCAGATCTACTAAACGAGAAAAACAAATAAAAGACATACAAATCAGAAAGAAGTAAAGTAAAACTGTCCCTGTTTGCAGCTATCATGGTTTTACATGTAGAAAACCCTAAAGACTTCATTTAAAAAATGTTACAACTAGTAAACCAATTCAGTATACTAAATCAGCATACAAAAATCAGTTATATTTCCTAACAATGAGTTATTACAAAAGAAAATTAGGGAAAACCTGCCATTTATAACACAAAAAAACACACAAAATTCTAAGAAATAAATTGAAAGACTTGTATAGTATAAATTAAAAAAAAACACTGATGAAAGAAATTAATGAAGACAAAACAAATGGAAAGACATCCTCTGATCATGGATTGGTAGAATATTATTAAATGACAATAATCTATAGATTTTGTAGATTCAATATAATTTCTATGAAGAACCTAAGGTATATTTTAGAGAAATAGAAGAGTTTTAAAATATATGTGAAATAAAAAATACCACAAAATAGGCACATAAATCTAGAGAAAAAAGAAAAAGCTGGAGCCCTAACCGGTTTGGCTCAGTGGATAGAGTGTCGGCCTGTGGACTGAAGGGTCCCAGGTTTGATTCCAGACAAGGGCATGTACCTTGGTTGCGGGCACATCCCCAGTGGGAGGTGTGCAGAAAGCAGCTATCGGTGTTTCTCTCTCATTGATGTTTCTAACTCCCTATCCCTCTCTCTTCCTCTCTGTAAAAAATCAATAAAATATATCTTTTTAAAAAAAGAAAAAAAGAACAAAGCTGGAGTCATCACATTTCCTGATTCCAAAATATATTACAACACTAGAGTTATCAAAGCAGTATGGAAGTGGTATAAAAAGAGACATATGCACCAGTGTTTCAAAACAGAGATCCCATAAATGAATCCTCACATAGATAGTCAACTGATACTCAACAAGGGTGCCAACAATTCACAGTAGGTATAGGATAATCTTTTTGTGCTGGGAAAACTGAATGTCCACATGTAGAAAAATGAAATTGTACCCTTGCCTTACACCATATCATAAAATCAACTCAAAATGGATTAAAGACATGTAAGAAGGATGTGAAAATGTAAAACTACTATAAGAAAACGCAGGGGAAAAGCTTCATAACTGGTTTTGACAATGATTTCATGACATTCAAAGCACTGGTAACAAAAACAAAAATAGGTAAGTGGGACTTTATCAAACTAAAAAAAGCTTCTGCAGCAAAATAAATAATCAACAAAGTAAAAAGGCAACCTATGAAATGGTTGAAAATATTTTTAAACCATATATCTGATTTAAGGGTTTAATCTTCAAAATGTATAAAGAACTTGCACAGCTCAATACAAACAAAACAAAACTAAAGTAAAATAAAATGCAAAACCCAATTTAAAAATGGGCTAAGGATTTGACTAGACAGTTCTCCAAAGAAGACATATAAATGCCCAACATGTATGCAGACAATGATTAATATTACTAATTATCAGGAAAACACAAATTGACACCACAATGACAAATCCCCTTATACCTTTTAGGATGAATTTTTTTTTTTTAAAGAGACTCAATAGCATTGGCTAAGTTATGGAGAAATTGCAGTCCTTTCACACTGTTGGTGAGTATGCATAGTGGTGTCACCACTATGGAAAACAGTTTGGAGTTTCCTTTAAAAATTAAAAATAGAACTACCATATGCTCCAGCAATCCCACTTCTGGCTCTTTACTCAAAAGAGTTGAAACTCTGATCTCCAGAAGATATTATAATCCCCCCATGCTCATTGCAACACTATTCAAAATAGTGAAGATGTGGAAACAAATGTCAAATATGGATGAATGGATAAAGGAAATGTGGTACATATATACAACAGAATAAAATTCAAACTTAAAAAACTGTTTTTAACGTTGGTTATTTGAAGGAAATGGTAAAATAACAAACCCTTTACAAACCAAATTTAAAAAAAAATATGAGAGCCCTGACTGGTTTGGCTCAGTGGATGGAGCGTCGGCCTGCGGACCAGGGGGGTCCCGGGTTCGATTCTGGTCGGAGGCATGTGCCTTGGTTGCGGGTGCGTCCCCATTGGGCATACAACAGAATAAAATTCAAACTTAAAAAGTGGTTTTTAAC